CGCTGTCATTCACACTAGACTCTCTAAGTTTTGTACAATTCCCTAGGCCAGCTGCACATTAAGCTTGCTGCGTGTGGCTTTATTATAGCACGGTGACAAGAAAGCATTAATATTCCTATGCTGCATCTGACAGGACATTTCCATGCACTCATCTGAGCTCGCACCTGAGAGCTGCCTTGAGGTGCTATGGCTGTGCTTGCATCTCTAACATAGAGAAACACCAGCACCCTGCTGGGATGGGGCCATCCTTGCTGCACTGCACCCCACACAGCCCCCAGCTCCATGCTGTGCCCTCTCCAAGCCCCCCTGGTGCAAATTCCAAGGGTTGGGAGACATGGTCAGTGCGTCTCTCCAGCAGAGCTGATAAGCGAAGTGACCCAGCGCCACGCACTGACACCGCTGGGAAGCACCAGAGGACAATTTAGGGTTTGGGCTCTGTGCCACTCGATTTGGCCTGCGCTGGCCGGTGCCCTTTGATGCCAATTGCCACACACCTTCACTTGGGATCGGGACTCCATGCTGGGTGGAAATTCATTAGGAAATAGGAAAACCCAGCCTAAATACGGTGGTCATTTGTGGGTATATTAATGAGCCTGCTGCTTGTTAAAGGATGCAGTAAGTCACAATAGGACATGAGCTGATATCAGCCACGATAGGCCCAAACCTGCTGCACTTACTGCTACTGGGATGCAGACCAGGCCCAGCAGGCTTCTAGGGTCAAGATAACAAACCAGCCGGTTGTGGGGCCACGCTACCTGTACAAATGCAAGTCTTGATTCACTAAATCCTACTGAGCTTAGCACACTTGATGAAATCCAGCAAAGTCTCGGCAATGGCCGCACAAAGCCAAGATCTGCCGAGCAGCTCCAAGGGGTGAGATACAGCAGTGCTACTCAGCCAGCGGGTCCTGCACTTGGAATGGCACCATGCCAGTTCAGCTCAGTGCTAAATGGCATTTACTGCAGGGCTGCTGCTCTGGATACAAAAACGGGCTGAAGCTGGGAGGAAATTCTGTCAAAAAAATTGTCTGTAATGAGGATCCATGCAGGCAAACAACCGGAGTCTGAGCTCCCATTGCCTGACACTGCCTCTCAAGCATCCTTAATTGTCTTCATTGTTTGAATTAAATAAAAAACAAGCGTGTGTGCCGAGGGTTGTACATACCAAACTGTGTGCATGCCCTTACTTTAAGTGAGGCATTACAAAAATATGGAGATGTCTCAGAAAGTCTTTCTCTTACCGTACTAATTAGAAAGTAGTTAATTGAGCCCTCCTCAGCTCCCTGCCTCGTTTTCCAGCAGCACTGCTCAGACCAGCTCCATGGGACCGAACCTGCTCCAGCTCCCAGCTCCCAGCACATGATGTCAGTGCATCCCCTACCACCCGCAGGCTGCCTCTGTGGCCATGAGCGCTGTGGCCACAGACACATTTCAGCCTATGGGGAGCTTCACAATTATATATCACATGTAACAAGAGGAAGAATGCAGAACGTATTTCTGATCCTCAAAACAAGAAGATCTGACTGACGGGGAACAAAATGAAAAAGAGAGATAGAAGGTATTAACACTTCTGCCACTTCCCTGGAACAATCATGCTGAAGCAAAGGAAAACTTTTTGCCCTGCCTCTTTCGAGTGAACTCGTATTTGTTTTTCCAATAAAGAGTCATCTTTACATTAGCCGTCCAAAACAGCGAGGATAGGAAAACAAACACAAGCTTTACATTGTACAAAGGACAATGTTGGCATCACATGCTTGTGTCTTCAAAAAGCGTTATTTCCAGGAGGCACTGGGGAAGGCCAACAAACCACAGGCACTTCTCCAGCCCTGCACGAGCAGTGTTCCAACAACTTGATCCCCATATTTTTTACATTTTTCCCCAGAAGTAAATTTCACAGCCATACAAGCCACTACATTTAATTAAGCTTTCAAAAGTCTTCTGACAATGCCAACAATTGAAAGACACTTCTGCAGCTCAATCATGCAATCATTGTGACACTTCTATTTACAATTTGTCTTAGAAAGAGTTTCTCTGACATTGTACTTTAACAAAACAGCCAAGCTGCCAGTTCACAACCTTTCTCTGCCTTATTTATTACCAACAGGGCTCGCACACAGGGCTGGTTCCAGCAACAAGCCCCTGGTAGCACCCGTGTGGTTTCTCCTTTGGGGAGCTGCACAGGCTGATCTGACTGCTTTTCATTCAGAGAAAGCAGAGTGAATTTCACTCTGAAATGCTTCCACTTTCATTTTTTCCCCCATGAATGTAATTCAAGTTTTTATCTTATTGCCCAGATGCAATGCTAAATGTTCTGCTCAGATCTCAATGATTTTTCACTCAGAACAAAATAAAATAATAAGGAATTGCAATTTACAACACACAGAATTCTAATGGCAGCTACGAATAACAATCCAAAAAAATTTCCTTGGCGTAATGACTTGACACAGACATGATCTCCTGAGAACAGCAATAATCAGATGCACTTGATTCAGAATTCAGTACCAAATTATGTCCGCTTTCCCTTTGATTATGAGAGGGATTTCTTACGTTGTTTTTCCCCATTATTATATTTGAATCCAACAGGGCGCTCAAGAATAAAGGATGCCAGCACTGCACAGTGACCTCCCTCTTCCCCACGCAGCCGCTTGGCACTCCCCAGCACCGGCCACGGCCAGAGGGGCTCTGACAGGACTGGCAGCACTGTGGGTCCCTCCTCGCCCCAAACAGCCTTCCTTAATTCCCCCAGACTTATACACCCAACCAGCGGAACGCTACAACCTGACACGGGTGGACGATAAATATTTCTTCAGCCTTTTCAATAAGTGAACAGCGATTTTACATTCACTGATCTCTAGATACTTCAGTTAATATTTCCCCCTATTGTAAAATACGAGACCAGATCGCTAAACCCCGGCCGCAGCACTCACTGCAAATCACAGCCTGCTGCTATCTGGTGCTGAGTGTTTGACATACATATTGATGAAAGCTGCCTCGTTGGACTCACACAACAGATCCTATTAATTCCCAGTTAAATTTATGGCATTTCAGCTACAGCGCCAGATCAGCATTGCTCCCAATTTTACATCACATCAAAGCATCACTCGCCCGCCTGCAGCCAGGTACGCACACGTGAGCATTGCCCACTGCTGCACAGAGTATTTGAGGTGCTCAGGGCGCTAAGGCTGCATGGATGGACAGGGTCCACAGCGTGCACAGGGTGTGCAGGCTGACTGGAGTGCTGTTATCACTCCATCCTCAGAAGCAAGAGGCCTGCAATGCATCCATGCCAGTTGGAGCAGCCATCGTTCTGGGTTCAGTGTCCCAAAGCTTGCTCCTGCAGATGATCTGCTCCTTAACTATTCCTCACTCAAGGCAACTTGCTGAATACAGCAGCTGCTGGCTGCAGACCCACAGACAGAGCATACCCCGCACCCACAGCCCACCTCCAGCACCTCTGTTCGAGGAACAACTGGCTGGGAACGCGTTTACATCGCTGCTAAATCACATCTTCTGGTCTCTCACCAGAGAGCATCAGCTCACTCAATTCCTGAATATTTTTTCAAAAGCAGCTTCCTACCTTTATTTTTTTAAAAAAACTTTTTTTTTCTTTTTTACCCATAAAGTCAGTATCTCCTGGTAGACAGAGAAAAGCAGATACAAAGCTAGAAAGTACCCAAGGTTCGCTGCAGGGACTCCACAGCCCAAAGCCCATGGCTATCCCAGCCCTGAGCTTGCATCTCGCTGCTGACCTCAGGCACTGCTGCTGGGCATCGTCAGCACACGTGTCCCACACCAGGTGGGCTCTGGCCACATCCCCAGAGCCAGGTCTTGTGCCGAGGAGTTCCCCAGCATGCCCAAAGCCCAGCTCACAGCCTGAACTGCTATTTGGAACCACAGAGAACTGCTCCTAATTCCTTCCTGACAGATACTGCATTCTGTCTTTGAAGCAGAGCGGCTCAATATGTAAATACAGAGTTACATCACACCGCCGTTCCTCCATATTTGGTGATTTAGTATGGCTCCAGCTCTAGGAAGACCACAAATCCCTTCCACCAGGCTCCCACACAATTAATCACAGCCTCCTGTTGTGTTCATTTGCTGCATGTCACAGTCAGCACGTGGAAATGGGCACTGCCCTGTGCCACTCCGGGAAAAGCCCCCCAACATCCATCTCTGGCAAAATGAAGATACGGAATTTTTTTAACCTCATTTACAAAACACTGGCACAGCAAATGGCTCTCCGTTTAAAAAAAAAAAAAAAAAAAAAAAAAAAGAAAGCTAAGAAAAGGAATTATTTATCCTTTTTTTAAAGCGTACTTCATGCCGATTGTTGCACAAAGCAGAACTCGGCCTCGGACATTTGTACGGATGACATGTGGTTGTGTAAATCACAAACAAAATCAAGATACATCTGTCAAAACCACCATCAGAGACAAGAGTGAGCGCGGAGAGGCATTTATCATTTGGCTGAGGAGGCAGGCTGCAGAGAGCGGCCTTTCCTGTCAAACCAACCTTTTGAAATTTCCAACATGCCCTTAAACTTTTCGAATAAGCATGTCTGTGCGCTTCAGCAACTGCCCTCTCTACTCTGGCCTGGCCAGTCGAAAATGGCATCTTAAAGTCAAGGTCGGTGGTGTCACTTTGCCATGGGGCTGTGTTTAATTACAGTCCATACGCTGACAGCCAATATGGAACCTAGGCTGGCTGATGCTCACTTAACTCCTTCACTGCCAGCTCTACCCACGGCTCAGCAGCTCCTTCCCCGCACACGCACAGCGCCGGACCTCCTCCTGCAGCGCGACGGCGGCTGCAGCACGGCTCGATGTGAGCGCAGCTGCACACAGCGCTGCCAGACACGCCGAGCTGCCTGACATGCCTGCTGCTCTGCCTCTGCGCAGCCACCAGGAGCACAGCCAGGCACAAGACTCCACTGCGTGCGACCACAGACACGCAACTGAAACAGAAATAAGCTTGCGAACACTTCTCCTCATTTTAATTTACCTGCTATGTGTTCCTGTTTTGGGCAAATTCCTCTCGATGACGTTGACAAACAATCATCATCCTCTGGCGTAACTTGGATGCCAACCTCCACGGGATTGGATGCTTTTTTCAGCTCGCTTGGTGAGGGTGAGGGTGGCTTATCCACAGCCTTCTCTAAGCAGAGACTGCCATTGCATTGTTTCCGTTTGTGCTCAATAAAAATAAGAATGTCCCCCAACGGGAAGTTCATCTGACACTGGCCACAGGTGAGGAGGTCATGGTCCCCTTCTGGAGCTCCCAACGTGCTATGGTCAGGTTCATCATCGGTGAGAATGGCTTCAAGAGGTTCAGCTGCGTTTGGAGAAACAAAAGGAGACACGTTAGAACTCTGGTAATGAGCGCTGGGCATGGGGGCACGCGGGAAGCTCCCAGCCCTGAGCATTGCTGTGTGGCCCCTCCAGCAAAGAGGTGCCCCGCAACCATCGCCACTGCAACAGGAACCGAATTTATTGGTGACCGGGAACACGCTATGCAGGAACAGCCACAGCCTACACAACCCTGCCACGGTATCTGCTCTCGTGGATGAGGACAAATTTCTGACTCGATTTAACGACTTACTGGTAAAATCAAACGAACAGTCTTTGAGAATGTGCTGCAAAGCTGCGGTGGTGCTAGGAAAACAAGTGAATGCTGTGCTTTATCTCCAGATGTATTATTTATGTACATGAATTCAAGGCTGAAAGCACTGCACACGCTCACACACACACAGAGGTGTATTTCCCCGAGCCAGACCCACTTTGTAAAATTTTTGCTCATGAAATATTTTGCTCATGACACGCGTGCACATGCAGAGGAAAGGTTCCAATGCACACCCTGTGTGTGCAACATGCAGGCAGCACAAGCACTGTGAGCAGGAGCAGAGGGAAGGCAGGGAGACGGGGCTCTCCCCACGCAGGTGTGCTGCTGCCCACGTTGGTGGCTCACAATTTGCACACTGAAAAAAGCAGCAGCCGCTCAAGGAGAGGGAGGAAGGAGAAAAGAAAGAGAGAAAGAGAGAAAGAGAGAAAGAGAGAAAGAGAGAAAGAGAGAAAGAGAGAAAGAGAGAAAGAAAGAAAGAGAGAAAGAAAGAAAGAGAGAAAGAGAGAAAGAAAGAAAGAGAGAAAGAGAGAAAGAGAGAAAGAGAGAAAGAGAGAAAGAAAGAAAGAAAGAAAGAAAGAAAGAAAGAAAGAAAGAAAGAAAGAAAGAAAGAAAGAAAGAAAGAAAGAAAGAAAGAAAGAAAGAAAGAAAGAAAGAAATAGCAGAGAAGCAACTGATAAAAATCAAGTGCAGTCAGAATTCCTGCAGGGTGGGAGGAGGAACCTCTTGCTATCCGGCTGCTCCTCGGGGTTCAAATAAATTCCAAATTCACCAAAAATTCCACCCAGAGATACCAACTAAACAGGATACAGTACAGCACTTAAGGACATGAGGCAATTAGTCATTTTTCCTTTTTCATCCTGAAATAAAGATATGCCTAAATTCTCTGCAACGTGTTAGTATCAGCGGCCTTTCACCATACACCAGCCAGCATGGCCAAGCAAATGCCACAGTTCTGAACAGCAGAGAGGAGTGCTCTCTCTGAGATCAAAATACCTCAGCAACCGTTGTCAAAGTTGACAAATTTTCTGAATGAGCTCCAAAAGGCTTCATTACGAGGCTATTTCTGTTCACATAATCATCAGAGGATGCTCTAACAAGGTAGAGTCGTCTTTCTTTTCTCTTTGCCTGTTTTTTTTTTTGTTTTTTTTTCCCTGAGTTTGCACGACAATACCTCAGCACTGCATGTACAGCCTCCACCGGGGTAGGCTTGCCGGAACAAAATACAGCAACACAGTGCTATTCCCCTGCCTGTGCAACACCGCACGTGCTAATGGCAACGGCAGAAAGGAGAGGGTGCTGCAGGCACAGAGCACCGCCACTCACTGCCAGGTAACATGGGCAAGACGGAATGCAACTCCTAAACAGTTAATGGGTCTGACCTTCTTTAGCTAGCTGCCAATTTCACGTTTAATGAACTTAAAGCCACAGAGAATCAAAAAATAGATTTTAATTTGGCTGCATGATATTGGAACTGATTTTGATAAAGTGCAAAAATCGTGTGAACTCAGGTCAAATTTATTTCAGCCCTGCCTAGGCTGAATACTGGGGAGGAAGATCTGGAGTAGCTCCCAGTTGTGCTGCATGAAATCATATCGAGAGAGCAGGCTGCCACCCATACCTCGGCTCCAAGTAGGGCACGGGGATGCAGCCCAGCAGCTCTTGCCTCTGGTACCACTTCTCATTTAACAGAAGGTCAACCACGGGAGGATGAAGGTTACGTTCAGACTGACAAAAGCAATGTCTCAATCACCTGCTTTCCTTCCCCACGCGCAGAGCAAGCGGCTGCATTCCTGGCACCCGAGGGCAGCGGGATGGGCTGCAGGATTGCTGCGTGCCATTTTTCTCCCCAGCCATCCCTCGTCTTCGGACAGAGGGAGCAAAGCAGCGCAGGACTAATTCCTCCTGTAGCTCGCTGCACACAGCAGACAAAGGTATTGGGGCCGAGCTGTAAATCCAACTTCTACCTCACCAACTGGACAGCGAAACACACAAAATAAACAGCGTTCCCTCCGCAGCTCGCTCAGCAAGGAGCTCTGCACAGTCATTCCTCAATTACAAGGTTTTCCCTCGGCCTGATTTATTTCTGACGCCGTCAGTGTTATTTAGCAGGGGAAGGGAACATTGTGCTGAGACACCAGACAGTTGAAAGTAGTGCTAAACAACAATAGACTTTGCTAAAGTCTGCTCTGCCGGGGCTGATTTACAATCAAACCCAGGAAATGAAGTGGTAATTCAGAGGTTGCTGATTACACCTCCACATTTCACCTAATTAATTTTATAGGAGGCAAAGTTCTTGAAAATAACAAGATGATCAAATGTACAGATATAAAACCTGTAACCTCAACATTTTCTATGCTCTTAATGTAAATTATTGCTAATTAACGAGAATTATATAGTAATGTATGAAATACGGCTGGCACCGCACTCCTCGCACAACACTCAGCTCCAAAGGAAGCAGAGCCAGCAGAACACGGCTGTATTCTTACTGCTGTCTCAAAAAAAAAAAAAAAAAAAAGGAAAACAACAACAACAACAAACAACAAAACGGATCTCCAAAGAAAGCCGAATACACAATTCACCTGGTGTACCCCTGAGCTGCCGGATGCGTCCTTTAATTTTTGTGCAGGCTGAATTCCCTGCCTAGGCACCTAATCACTCGTCCCTGTTTTTAATGCAAATTGCTCTGCCATGAACACATCTCTCCGCTCCTCCTCGCCCTCCTGCTCCCTCCTTCTTCCCCATCCCCAGGCACCACAATCTCCCCCCGCCGGCTGCGGGGACCCGCGCGGATTTTCTCCTGCCCGAGAAAAACGAGAAGGGGAGCGGCGCGCAGAGGGACCGAGGCCGGTCCGGTTCGGCCCGGCTCGGCCCGGCTCAGGAGCGCAGAAAGGAGAGCTTAAGGGGTGGGGAGGGAAAGGTGGTCGCCTCGTGCCAACTTTGCTCCAACTGCGGCCGGAGCTCGTGGCCCAAAGCGGGGGCGAGGCGCGGCGGCACCGGGCGGCCCGGGGGGAGGGGAGAAGAGGGGGGCCAAACTCCGAACAAAAGTTGCCATCCACCCCCACCAAAAAAAATAAAAATAATTTGAAAAAAAAGAGTCCGCCTGGCCGGGGGGCGCGGGGGCTGCGAGGAGTCCGGGCCGGGGGCGGCTGCGGCGGCCGCGCTGCTGGCAGCGGCCGAAAGGAAGAACAAAGGCGAGGGGAGAGGGGCCGGCAGGGAAAGGAAGGGAGAGGAAGGGAAGGGGCCGGCGGCGCGCCCTCCCCCCCCCCCCGCCTGGGCCGCGCCGCGGGCGCAGAGGACCGGCCAGGTTCAAGTCCGCTGCCGGCGGGGTTTTTGATGTCGGTGTGCCTCCTAGCGACCGCCCGGCACATCCCGCCCGGCGCATCCCGCCTGCCCGGCTCCTCGGTCCCGCTCCTCCGGTCCCGCTCCCGCCCCCGGCCCGGCCCGGGGCCGCACACGTGCGGAGCTCCGCGGCCGCGCGGTTACGCGCCCGGCTACGCGTCCTTCCCCTGCCCGGCCCGCGCGGAACGGGGAGGCCCCTCTGGGACGGCGGCGTGGGCCAGCCGGCGTCGCGGCCCCCGCCTCGGGAGAGGCGTCCCCAGGAGCGAGAGCCGAGCGCCGGCGTAGTGCCGAGGCAGTGCATGCGGGAACGTGCGGAGAGCGGTGGGAGGGAGCGAGGGAAGGAAGACGGGCCCGGAAAGTTCTGCAAAGCGTGAGCGGGGACTGAACGCGTCGCGCCGGGTCCTGCGTCGGCCCTGGGAAGGAGCAGGGAACACTCGCTGGGAATAATGGGGAAAAAAAAAGATGGGAAGAAATAAAAGCGAAAAAAATAAACAGCCACGAGTAGCGTATATCGTTTCCTTTTCTGCACGCTCACCCGAGAAAAGGGGGATTTTCTGTCCCTTCCTCCCCCTCGCCCCGCATTTTTCTGCAACCCGAGGTGCCCTTTGTTGTGCGTTGAGCGGTCCGCTCTCCGTGTCCCGCCCGGAGCGCGGTGCCGCTAGCGGGGAGCGGCGGTTCTGCGGTGAGCGGCGCTCCGGGACCGGGCTGTGTCTTCTCTCTCCCAGGGAGAGCACGTTGGGTTTGGGGCTTAAACGCGGGCGCGGGGCTCCCGGCTGTGCGAGTGTGCGAGCGCGAGTGCGTGTGTGGTGTGCGCTCAGCCCGGGCTCGCTCTTGTCTGTGTTTGTTGGCAGGAGGCTTCCCGCACACGCGGCGCTTGTAAACATTCAGACACGAGATTTTTCCCAATCAAAATCCACTTCCACTTTTTTTGAAAATCTTCCAAAAAATAGTAAGTGAGCGAGGCAGCGCGAGGCGAGGGCGAAGAGGGAATCCCTCTCGGCGCGCCACGGCCGCCGGCCCGGGGCCGCCCCCCGCCCCAGCCCGAACCGAGCCTAATCGGGGCTGGGGACGCAGAGGGCGCGGGGTGCGGGGGGAGGTGGGGCGGCGGGGCCCCCGGGGCGGCCGGAGCGGGTCCGGCCCGCACCCCGCGACGGAAACAAAAGACAGCCGGGCCCGAGCACCCGTACGCCCTCGCCCCCGGCCCCGCGGAGGGTGCGAAGGCGCGAGCGGCGGGGAGCGGCGGGCTGCGCTCGCCGGACTTTTTCCGCGCCTCTCGCTCCCAGCCGCCCGGCGCCCACCGCCGCCCCGGCCGCGCTGCCCCGCGCTTCGCCCGCCCGCCCCCGGTCGTGCTGCCCGCCCGCGCGGGGCGCTCTGCGGAGCGGGGCCGTGGCGCGGAGCGGCGGGACGAGGTGGGATGACCGGAGCGGCGCGGGATTGCGGGCGGCGGGAGTTCGATCTGCTCCGCTCGCTCGCTCCCTCTCACTTTTATTTCTTTTCTTCCCGCTCTCGCTCGAATAGAAAATTAAATCCGCGAAAGGGGAATTGAAGGAGTCGCTCCACAGCTTACTTACGCGAAAATTCCCGCTTGCTTAAGTGCTGGGGCTTGCCCTGCTTGCGGCGCGACATGGTGGGCTGGCGGCGGCGGAGCGCGCGGCTCACATCGGGAGCGCCGGGCTGCGGAGGAAGGAGGCTCCCGAGAAAATATCTTCATCAATGTCTTTTGACATCCAAAATAAATTAGAAATAATACAAAGATGGCGCAGGGAAGATGAATTGTGGGATAGCAGTCATGGCTTTTTTTTTTTGTGCGAGGAAAAAAAAGAGAGGGAGAGAGAGAGGGAGAGAGAGGGAAAGAGGGAAGAAGAGAGAGAGCGAGATGAAAAAAATGGCAAAAGCCCCCCTGAGCCGCAAGTTCAAGTGCGGACGTGACGTCCCCGCGAACTTGAACGTCAGGAGCCTGGATGGACAGAGACATACAAAACATGGGCAGGGCGAGCCGGGGAGAGGGGAGGAGGGAAGGCGAAGGCAACACCAATGGACACTCATCGGGGGCTGGACATGAAAAAGAGAGCAGGACAAGCCAATGGCCGAGGACCGCGGGGGGGAGCGGGGAGGGGGCGCGCCGGGCGCACGCCGCCGGAGGGCCCCGGGGCCAGGGCGGAGGGGGCCGGCCGGGCGCGAGCGGCCTCGGGGCGAGGGAGGAGGGGGCGGGGGGAGCGGTACCCGAGCCCGGGAGAAGGACTGGAGGAAGGGGAAAGGGGAAGGAAAGAGAGAGAAAGAAAGAAGGTAGCGGCAGCGCGCACACTCTCACACCCCCGCTGGCAAAGTCCATAGATCTCTGAAGCCAGGGGGGGGGGGGGGGGGACGCCGGGCAGGCTGCCCTCGGGAGGGGCGGGGGGTAGACCGAAGGAAGCCAGCCAAGAGCGGGGACCACCCAAAAGGAAGGGGGTCCCATCCGGAGCCGGCGTCCCCACTCGGCCCCCTCCCCCCAACCTCCGCGCCGCGGAATCCCCTCCTCCCGGGAGCCGCGGCCTGGCCCCGAGGGACGGCGGCGGTGGCCCCGCGGAGAGCCGAGGGGCGGCGGGGGCCCGGCCCGGCCTGAGGCAAACTTCGGCGGGGAGCGGCGTGCCGGCAGCCGGCCGCCTGCCCCGGAGCGGGGGAGGAGGTGGCGGGGGAGGGGGGGTGGCGGGAGGAGTTCCGCGAGCGGAGGAGCGGGAGGAGAAGGCGCGGGAGAAGAGGGAGCGGAGACCCCGTCGCTTACCCCTTCGAGCCCAGCCCGCGGCAGCGAGCGGCGGCGCGGGGCAGCGGCTGCAGCTGGGGGATGCGCAGCGCCGGCCACAACTTCCCCGCCGCCGGCACGGGGAGGGTTCAGGTTGCAGCGGGAACGGGCTTGGGAGCCGGGCGTGCCCGCACCGCCGGGCCGAGAGTACCCGCGTGCGGCACGGAGGAGAAGGCGGAGAACGGAGGTGGCGGCTCGGACGGAGCGCGGGAGCGGCGCGGGGACCTGTTGACCGAGCGAGGCGAGCCCGTGTCGGAGCGGGACCTCGAACCGCGGGCGGCCCGCCGCCGAGCCGAGCCGAGCCGAGCCTGGAGCGGCGGGCGGCGAGGGGTTCGATCGGCGCGAGGCGGGGAGGAGGCGCGGGGCCGGAGAGCTCCAGGTGCCACGGTCACGCTGCGCACAGAGCGGGCGGCCGTGTCCGTGCGGCCATGTGCTCCGTGCGGGGCGCGCATAAACAGGCGGGTGTGTGCGGCACAGGTACGTTCGTACGATTTGATTTGTATATAATGGAGCGTGTCAAGCTTCTCGAGGTAACTGCAGTGCAGAAGTAATGACTTTATTACCTCTGAAACGTTGTGCAGTTCGCATTTAACAGTGCTCTGAATAATTACAAGTCATTACGCAACCGTGCGCCCTCCGAAGCCCACGTACGGTGGGATGCCTGGCCGGGGCCAGTTCTGATAAATAACACGCAGCGTCCCATCGGTTCTCTGTAAAAGCTCCTAGCGAATTAATCACTTAGTTACACCTCAGCCTGCCGGCTCGCTGCACCGCGGCTGAGATTCCAGCGGTGACTGCCCCGGCCGCACCGTGAGACGTACTCGACAGCTGATTGTGCGGATGCTCTCGGGAACGGCTGCGAGCGAGTCCCGCCGGCAGCGTGCCCTCAGTGCCGGCATGGAGCAACAGCTCGGGCGAAGCGGAGCCGTACCTCAGCGGGGCGCTCCGGGCCGGGCGCTGCTGTCGGCGCTGATCACAATAACGCGCTCTGCCCGCCGCCCCCCGCGCCGCTCTGTCATGTGACGAGAGGGCGACAACAGACCGGGAAACGAGGCGTCGGGAGGCGTTCTCAGAGCGCCGTATCCACGGGCTTTATTAAAGCAGGTGGGTTTTTATTTTGCTGCGCTTTAGTGGAAGGAAGGAGGCTGTTTAACGAGCAGCCGTGGACACGAATAACTGTATTTACAAGCCCTGACGCGGCTTTTGCCAGGCGGTAAATCCTGAGCCGCGACCATTATTCGCCGTAGCCCGGGGCGCGCAGCCCGGTCCGTGCCCCATAACGATGCAGCGCGGCTCTCCTCGAGCCCTTCGGTGTACTCCGGTGTCAGCTCGCGGCCAGCAGTGTTTTGAATGGGGGACTTTTCTCTGCGCTTCCTGAGGTATGGTTCTGTCTCTGATCTCCGCCTTTAATGGCCGAGCCCTGGTTTATGCTTTATAACGTGTTGACAAGTTTTCTAACAGACTTTCTGAAATAACGCACATATATTCACGTCGGTTACAAACTCTACAGTATTTTTAGCGCCGAGTAGATCTATATCCTAATGCACTGAGAGGGAGTGTAAATCATGGAGGATTTCATAGCCCCTTCAGTAGTTTCTGTATGAAGTACGAGCAGCGTGGCCTCCAGACGTAACCTTTTAGAAAAAAAGACAGCTCTTTTATTTTATGGTGTAAAGTGCTTTTAGCTTCAGGGCTCTGAACGTGAACGCGGTCAACAAACAGCTCCTGCGAGGGGCTTAGCTGCGGTCCGGCCCCTGCGCTTGTTGCTGCGCGGCCGCCGGGCGGCTCACGGGGCCCCCTCCCCCCCCCCCCTCCGCTCTGCCTGGGCACAGCCGCGCACGCCTCGCCCCGGGGAGGGGTTGCGGGGCTCCCGGCGCGGCCGGAGAGGCAGCGGTGGCGGGGGTCCAGCGGCAGCGGCCCCCGGGAAAGGCGGAGCTGGGGGGGCCGCAGGCGCTGCCCTTCCTACAGCATCCTCTGTACGCCGCCCGGGCACGTGGCGCGTGGTCAGTCCGCACTGTACCTACTGCATAAAGTGACGGCACTGCTCAGTCACGCTCATGGACGCAGCATTTAAACACAGCTAAAATTTTTCAAAGGCTGCTAGTTGTGGAAATGCGGCAGGCAAAAGGACGAGTGGGAACAAAACTGGGCAAGCGCTAAAGACAGCCCAGCAAAAGGGCTGCAGGACTGGCGCGCGCTCACGCGTCACCTCCCTCTCAGCCACGGCCCTCCCCTGCCGTGCCATCCTGCCGCTGTGCCTCACCCCAGCCAGATCATCCACTCCTTGGTACGGACTCCTGGCTCCAGAGCTCCAGAGCAGTCTTGGGAAAATGTGCCTGATTGCCCTAGCCTTGTGCAGGCAAGCCCAGAGGTTGGCGCTGGAGCCTGAGCCATAGGGTTGTCACATTCACCTGGGAGTCCAGCCTCAGGAAGAGGCTGCCCACATGCTGCAGCCCCTCAGCTGGCTCCCACCCTGCCCCTTGCAGACCAGAGCCCCAGGACGCCTGCCTCCGGTGCCTCAGCCCTGGAAACGGCAGCATGGTCCTTCCTTCCAGCAGAGCCTGGAGGCTGCTCTATAAAGGGACTGCCTCAAATGGGGAAGTGTGGTCTGCCTCCCTCTCACAGACAGGCACACGGTCCCTGTGTGGCGCTGAGGCCCAGAGGTACAGAGGAGCGTGATGCAGCATGTGCTGCATGCTGCCATCCCTGTCTGTCTGCTGATTTAGCTGCAGACTTGGTAGCAGGTGAGTTCAGGAACTTAGGTGGGCAAATGTTCCCACTTCAGTGCTCCAACTGTCATTCATTCATGGCAGTGTTCTCACATGTCAGAATGGAACATTAGAACCAAACACAAATTCCAAAACAATGCCAGTCCTCCTGAGCCACGTGTTACATAACGGCCAGCATCACAGGCACCCTCCTCACCCAGTGATAGCCTCAATCAGGCAGAGGCACCACGGGTGGAACTCTTATCGCACCGAGCTGACTCCCGACGAATGAGCAGAGGGCTCGTGTGTCCTAGAAATGGCGTGTGCATTGGTACTGCAGGGCGAGCAACGTGGGCACACTGCTTTCGGTTTTCTCCTTTTTTGTTGCTGTTTTTGTTTTGTTTTTTACTAAGGGCTCAAAATAAGCTCTGATCCTGCAAGCACTTACTAGCAAGCACTGCACACACAGCAGCAAGTCTGTGCAGGATCACACACATATGGGCATCAAGTGACCAAAAGATTTTGTTATGGGCTGCTCTAGACAGGATCCAGAACAAGGTGCTGAACTTGAGGAGAGTTTTTCCAGAGGTTACAGCAAGGTGTGGGTTGTCAGCCTGCTCCTGCTTGCACAGCTCTGGGCACAGTGGAGCCCTGAACCTTGACTGGGCGGTCTAGGGATGGCTGTAAAATGAATGGCACAAAGCACTCGGGATGTAGACTCATTTGCAAACCCCTCCTCTAAGTGTACACATCCTCGTGGGTAGGCAGGCGGGGAGGCACTGGTTATAAAGGATGCCAGTAACAGCTCACTTTTAATCTCATGTTTCATTTTGGCCAAAGTCTGGTTTTAGTTTTCACTACTCCAGAAGTTATTTTACTATTAGTTATTTTGTATTTTATTTATGGTCTCCTCTATTTTTGTACGTAAGCGTGTAACACGCCCCTGACAACTTGTATCCTAAGCTTCTAGCCGAGGCAATTTAAGCGTGGTGGGTTTAGAATCGATGTATGGTGTGAATCCGTACGATCTTAATTATAGCAGTATAGCAGCCACGGTACGAGGGAAGTAGCAGGGCTTTCATTACTAAAGAGGCACAGTAGTTAAGGTCTGTCAGTGTTCCTGTTACAATCCCCATCTTGAAGAGGTTATAACTTGGGCTGTGTAAATTTGATTGAGCTGAAACTTGGGACTCAAACTGCCAGTCCAAATAGGGAATTACCTTATGAATAATTGGCTAACCCGCTGCTTGATTCAGAGGCCTTTATAAAATGATTTTAATGGGTTCTAATGTTTTTTTCTTTTACTGACATCTAGGGTATGAATGTGGTACTTCTAGCTCTTTTGAAGCTCCTTATTGAACAGCACATATATAGTACATGCATTAAAACTATACAGCAACACAAGAGTTCATGGGGCACGTGTCACTCTTACAGATCCATGTGTGGACATATGCAGACCGAGACCATGTAGAAGAAGTGTGACAGTCTATCTCAGAATATGTGAGATAAGCAGAATAGAAATGCCTCAGACAGAAGGGAGCTAAAGCACATCCATCGTGTCTGCTGTGTCCCTCAGTCCCATGGTGACCCGCTGTCAGAGCTGCTCACACCACGCTGCTGGGAAAGGTGGGTGTTTCCTGATCCAGCCGCCTGAAGCAGTTCTGGTGCACTACAGGAAAAAATATGTCATGGCATTGGTCACTTGGTTTTCCTTGTTAACAGTTTTTTGGGACTTAACATTTCTGGGGACATTTTCTTTCCCCAAAATGTGTGGAAGTGAGTCCCATGTGCACCTTAGCATCAGAACAGGCATCATCATGAGTGCACTTTGAAAGGCATCAGCTGCTTGACTTCGAGCACTGGCCTTAAGTATGGCTTTGTGTACAAAGAATTTTACTTAAAAATACTCTCAGTGATACTTTCTGCTTGTTCCAAACCTCTGTGGCTCAGAGACACTTTTTGTCACTTGAGATCACTCTAAGGCAGAGCATGCACATCTGGGGAAGAGTGCAAACTTGGAATTTTCTTTGACCCTAGCAGAAAATACTGGCAAGCCCAAGGCCAGCAAGATGAGCTACAGACCATGGACAGGTTGCTCTAGTGGAGCCAGACCCCAAAACATTTCTCTGCCAACCTTGTAAATGTTTGCAAAGCATGAACACTATCTTTTGAGACACCGAGTCATCCGTCTACCTGAGCAGGTCATTCTTTGAGCTTATGTTATTGACCCAAGTGACTTTCTAATTGGTTTCCTGACTTTAGCTGCTAGGATTGGGGAGATCTCTAGCTAGCCCAAGGCCAGGAATTATGGCCAGCTCAAGCCACAGGCAGGCAGGCATAACCTGGTGGCCCAGCAGACATTGAGCTCAGGGAGGATGAGCATGCTGCGTGGGTGAAAAAGGGTGAGACAAGCAGCCAGCAAACTCCTGGTAAGGCTCAAGACAAGAGGAAGCTGAGTCTGGCTCTTTGCAGCTGTGCTGTGGGGCTTGACCTGCAACTTTAAGAAAGGACAGCAGTCACCAGTGCCTGGCATCAAGGCATGCCAGCATGAAATTTGTTTCCTGGTTCCAGTTCACTGCAGCTGGAGTTATTTCCCTGCTATCTGACAGGCACTGGTGCCAGCAGCCACTGTTCTGTATGTGTGTATCACTCCCACAAGTGAGCAGGAGTGCACCCCGAAGTTTAAAAGCAGTGGCACACAATCACTGCAAAGTGTCTTCCAACTGGCAAGATAGGAAGAGCTGGTCTACTCCTGGCCAAATGACACATGTGGGGCAGCACCAGTCTTTTCAAACTGTAGTTGTTTAAGATCAGCCTTCCCTCAGGATCATCATGATAAGCTTTTCATGCTTCCCTGAAAGAACAGACCAAGGGGTGGTGAGAGCTTGGGCTAACAGGAAATTCAGAAAGCTCCACTCTAGGTGCAGCGGGAAGGAGGATGGAATTGCAAATGTTTTGTCTTGGAAAATAAATCCAACTACATTTCCATCAAATTAAATAAGAATTCCAGGATAACAAAACTAATTCATGACCAAGTCACCCAATACAAGTGTCAGTGATTAAAAAAAAAGAGAGAGAGAAAGAAAAAAAAATTCCATTGAGGAATTAGTTTTGCTACAGGAGATGTGGAAAGATTCAGTCCGTTTGCACACTCCCCAGCATATCTGGCTTGACTGACAGCAGGGATGCAGAGTACAGTGGAAAGGATTCTCTCCTCTAACGCTGCTCAGTGCATCCCATGCCTGAGGAATCTGCTTGGACTTGGGCACCAAAAAACCCGTAAGCATATCTGACACATCAGCTGTACTCCGAGTCTGCAGTAAGCATGAGGCCAAGTATTCTGTTAAGATGGTGTCTTTCGGAAATAAACTCTATTAGGTAGGTTTTTAGTTACTAACAATGCATTTAGCTGAAATTTCACATCATCATTCTCGATATTAATTTTGTATTACTGTTGTAGATTACATTTAATTTTATCCTTTAGGTTCAGCAAAGAAGAAATACACGTGCTGTCTAGAACGTGGGGCCATTTGTGTGAGGCTCCATCTAGATGGAAAACAAAGAACTGTTGAGATAGCAGAGATCTTCTGCATTTAAAAACAAGAACGGCTTTGCTGTGGGGTTTTTTCTTTGCCATATTCATCCTGTGCAACTCCGTGTGCAAAATTTCGACTTAATTGAAATATTTTAATGCAACTCTCTGTAGTCAAATTGATATAGTGTTATACAGCCCAAAGCTGCACAGAAAGATGCCGTGCTGAGGCATAGCGAGAGTGATGGTGAATAAAGCATGATACAAGCACACTTCTTTCAGCAGTTTGGATACTTTCGCCACCATTTGTTATTGTCAGCACATATAATTTTTACAGTACGGTATGAATTCTGACTGCAGCGAGAAGAATGCCTTCCACTGCCAGTATGAATAAGATTTCACTCAATTAGAATAACGTGCAAGCGTATCGTATAGTATTAGCACAGAAAGCTGATGTGCATTAAGTCTGAATGCTGGGAGTTATTGTGCTAATGCTATTGTTTGGTGAGCAACTATTTCCCGGCAGTGAAAAAAAAAAGAAAAAAAAAAAAAAAGCAAGGGAAATTAAATACATAAATCAAAAATATGCGCAATGTTTGATATTACCATACTGAAATTAATGTATTCATAATTTAAACTTTACCTTGCTCTATTGTATTAAGTTTCTGCATACCTATAGAGAAACAAATGTAAACACAAAGAGAGCGACCCAAAGCCTGTGTGCTGAAACAAGTCTCTCATTGCAGTGCTTGTTGCTGTGGGTAAATGCAAGGGAAATGCAGGCTGCGTCGCGTTGCCAGGCGTACAGGCTGTTTGCTACCTGTGTCAGTGAGAAGTTGGGTCTGAACGCTGCAGTAGAGACGCATCTGCTGCGACCACGCTCTCCTGGACACCCCAACAACGTCGTGCACTGCAATCGCACTCACTTTTACACCCCAGCAACGTGGGGCACCGTGTTCCCACACAGCGATGTGTTCGGGGGATGAGGAGCTGCGCAGCTCCTGGCACTGCACTTCTGCTGCCCAGAGCTGAAGGTGTGCGATGCATAGGATGGGCACACAGCTGCCACCGCTCCTGCGAGAAAGGTCAAAAGTGCCTGGGAGCCGAGGTGTGCCTGAAACAGCCGTTGTACTTAGAGCCAGTAAACACGAAACTCTTCTCTATTGAGACCCAATTAGCTTTTCTATTCAAAGCCGTGCTGCACTTCTGCACGTTGCTTACGAGTGGGACTGAAAAACACACGCACCATGACACTACACTTTTAAAGTGTTTATTGACTGCCTTTCCCGTTCTCCCAGGATTGCCTCCTGCTTAGATGTGAGTTTTCGGTGAATATGACCTGACTAATTGTTTTCCCCTGCCATGATCACTGCGTTTCTCAAGCAGTTTGCACCTACTCACGGACCTCACATCTTCAGCCTTGGATCTTAAAGAAACTGATAACTGCGCTTCCAGAAAACTGCTCGGTAAATACATTTCCTGCCCCGGGCTTTACAAGGACCGCTCTGGTCTCAGATCCACCGTGTACGTACCATTCTTTTTTTCCCGGATTTTTTTTTTTTTTTTTTTTTTTTTTTTTGGTGGTGGTGGTTTTATTTTTTTTTTTTTTCTGTTACCTTTTCTGCCAGTGAAGTAATCAGGGAGAACGGCGGGAGGCTCCATAAATATGCAAATTGTCTCCAGATAACTGGTTTCGCTGGTTCCGCCTTGGGACTCCCGCCGGGCGGCTCCGCGGGGAGATCCGTCGCCCCCGGCCCCGCCCCCCACGCTCCGAGCGCTCCTTCCCCTCTCCTTCCCCTCTCCTCTCCTTCCCTTCTCCTCTCCTTCCCTTCTCCTTTCCTTCTCCTCTCCTTCCCCTCTCTTTCCCTTCTCCTTCCCCTCTCCCCGCCGCGCTCCGGTGCGTGCCTGCGCCTTTCAGCTCCTTGGCAGCGTCCCGAAGGAGCTCCGCGTCTCGTCGCTGCTGGGGCAAAGCACGGGAGGCTGAGCCGCACTCGGGCCCTTTCCTTTCTAACTCGGAATTGGAAGGATTAAAAGCGGCCACTGGCTTCCAAGTTAAAAAACATGTTGAAGTGAAAGTTCAATTCGTAGTTAAACACTCACTCCTTAGTGGATTCTGATCTGACTGCTGTTAGACCAACATTGGTGTTGCACTGACTCTTTAATTAATAAAAACGGTTGGAGTCCTCTCTGTCATCTCATTCTTTACCAGCCTCCGCACAAACTTTGAAGTCCCTGTCTAAATAGGAGACCGAGAAGGAGAACATCAGCCGCCAAAGTTACTTCGAAGCCAGAGAAGCGAGGCGGCTGATACAGCAGGCACTGGATGGGCTCCATCCCTCCGCGATCGCTGCGGCTCCCCGCCGTGGAAGCTGCCCGGCAGCCCGCGGTGGGACGGCGCTGCACTCACGGAGTGCGGAGGGCTGGAGGGGTGAGGAGCTGCCGCTGCCCCGGGATTTCCTCCTGCCCGCGGAGCCGGGCCTCACTGGGAAGGAGATGGAGGCGGCCGGATGGATAAATCCACCTGTGGATTTGTGGGTAGATCCACCTCCGGGAGAGATGGAGCGGGCAGCAATGGCCTCGTCTGCGGAGGAGGAATCTGGACTGCAGACTGGAGGCAGAAATGGGGGTTATAGTTAACTTTCACAGTTTGCCGCCACTGAAAATTTCAAGTAACTTCCCTGAACTAGATTTAAGACTTTTTTTTTTTTTTTTTTCTTTTTTTTACCACGTTATCTCCAGATTTGACTGCTGGAAAAGGCTGACTGCACAATAGCAAAACAAGGGCACCATCCAGCAGTTGGGAATCAAGGCCCTTCTTTACCAGAGCCTCTGCCACATACATGCTGTCACCCACCTTCCAGACACACGGCACAACCATTCGATCTACTGAATCGAGAGACTGTTTGATCTTATCTGCATCTGTGAGCTGACTGTCAACCTGCTTACACTGCATATTAAATCATCCATAGTAGCTGCATCAAGCTGGGATGATCTGTTAATTCTGAATTTACTAACCCTTCGAGTGCAGTCATTGTGTTTAATCTAGTGTAGCCAGCATTTATTTTGCAAGCCTAAATCCTTCTTATATGTCTGTGCTGTAGGTTAAAAAATCATTAACGTGTAGGAGATGGTAATTGGGAAGAGTTCACTTTGATCTTTGGAAGCCAGTTGACAGCATCACTGCTCCAAACACACACGTGTGTGCTCTCACCATGTGCTGGACGTGTGCACGCGTACGCACTAATGACATTTCCTTGCAGAAAGAGTTTTGCATGAGACAAGGAAAAAGAGAGGCCTCAGACAATGCCTTCATTCCATGTCTCAAGGAAGACTTACGGTCGAGAGGCAAATTCCTGGTGCTGCAGTGCAGTGAGAGCATGTGGCTGCAGGCAGAGCCCTGCCAGGAGGGCCAACAAATGTCTCCTCGAGGCAGCGCCCAGCTTGATGCCCAGCTTGATGCATGCCTGCAGCCACTGCCAGCACCAGACATCCCCATGCACTGAGGACCACAGCCTCTGCCACGCTTGAGAAAATCAAGTGCTGCTGTCAGCACCTCTACCAACGTGCCCCCTCCTCTGCGCACACATACGCAGAAAATTGCGTGCAGATATGTACATACATTTAAATATGCTAATCTGCTCACTGTACACACCCATCTCTCCCTGTCCCACTCTCCTGTTACCTATTATACTTGCACGCTGCTGATGGCATCAACGCATTCACAGCTTTTATTTCGGTCACAAACTGGTAGGCATGCTTCCTTTTTTGGTAATCACATGCCTGGTGTCTCTCTAATGTAGCCTAATAACAATTTTAGCATTCAGATAAAACGATTTCATTCTGTGATTGCCTTTTCTATTAGATTTGATTCTGAGAAGCCCCAGTGGGTGCCTCCGAGGCAGAGATCTATCTGTGAGGCTGCAACCGATTCAATAGCAGCCTGAGCTAACCTTGACCTTTCCCTAGACCCTGCTCCATCTGGTGCCAGCCTGGTCCCCCCCTTCTCCTCCTCCTTGCTTCACAGGCAGCATTGATCAAGACGAAATCGAGCGGCTCTCTCCCTCGGAGGGCTGGGCAGTCACAGGAAGGACAGCACATTTCAATATATGGAGACGACCGAGCCTCTTATGCAATCATAAATCTACATAGAGGCTTCTGATTTGATATTTCCTTCACCTCCAAAGATTCTCCCCTCCCTCCCCCAGCAGGGATTTATAAACTATAAGACAACGGCTTTCCCCAACACCTGGAAATTATAAAGCTGGCTGTTGGGAATGCATCCTGGCGATTTGATCTGATTTACTCGACTTCTTATTTATTTCCTTGCAGCTCGCTCCATCTTTTCCCTACGTCCTCGGTTCTGTATCTCTCTCTTCTTTCTGTTATTTTCCCCCGTTCGGAGGAGGCCTTTATTCGCCTCCTCGGGGATGCCGGGGTGCCGCTGTGGGCAGGCTGGAGGGGCCGCGGGTAGGCTGGATCGGGAGGACCGTCTCCCTCCGAACCCCGGCACCGACTGCCGGCTCGCTCGGGCGCGTTTCTCTGTCTGCAAACGAGAAGAGGCTCCCGCGATCAATCGGCGCACGGCGCTTCGCGCTTCGTTTTCTTCCCTCTTCTCCGCTCTGCCGCTGCACCTGTATCCCAGCGCCGCCTCGCCCCCAGAGCCCAAGCGGAATTGCGCCGTGCCCCGCGGCCCCGCACCGCCCCGCAGCCCCGCACCGCCCCGCACCGCCCGCAGAGGCGTTCCGACGCGCTCCCTCCCCCGTTCCCTCGCCGGCAGCACTCGCTTGTGTTCGCCCCGCGGACAACCGCCGCGTCCCGTGCTCTCGTCTCATCTCCGTGTAGGTTCCTTAATTGCCAGGACGTTCGTTTACAATCCGCGATTTGCTTTTGCTTCCCAAGAATTGTAGCATGACCGCGTTTTCTCAGCTCGCAACAGTCTTGAGATTACATAACAGATGATGCAAAATTATAATGACGATCTAATCTGTGCACTCTGTAATTATTGTATAGAGTTTCCTGCACACACACGGCTCGTGCAGTATCTGCAGAGCCAACAACAGGCTGCGGATGCAGAGTAGAAAAAGTAGAGATTGATATTTGGCAGTATGAATGTACCAGAGAGGGATATTACTTAATGGGAGAATGTGTCTGGAAATGCATTTCTCTTTCTTCTGAGCAATTTGTTTTGCTTTATCTCCATGGGTTGTAAAAAATAATAGGAAGAAACTGTGAATTAAGCTGAAAAAATACATATACTCAATTTATCAGTTTACTATTACACTTCCTATCTGCAGTGTTACAAAGATTTAGTACATTTCCTAAACTTTTGGATCTAATCTGCATTTTGTGCAGCCTACGGTTTGTTTGTGAGACCTGCCACCACATGCCAGCTAAAAATGAGTGTCAATTAATAACAAAAAACTCCCTTCCTTCCTTATTTCTGCACTCTCGTACTCTAACGGATAAAACTACTGATGGTGAGAATTTTCCATTACTAACAGTTTTTATTCTAAAGCACCAAAGCTTCCCCAAATAGAGCTGCTGAATATTTCCTTGCTTTTCCCAGTGGCAATTTATGCACACCACTGCTCATTAAAAATATAAAGAATATTCAGCACTTTAAGCAGTGTTTTTTCTTCTACCCAGATCAGCCAGTAGAACCAATCACAAATCCAGTGACTGCACTGCGTTGTTTGTGGTGTTCCAAATTAGAAATCATTTGAAACCAGAAGTAGGTTTGTTTTTTGTTTTGTTTTTTTGTTTGGTTTGTTTGGTTTTTGTTTTGGTCTGTATTTTTGTTTTGTTTTGTTTTTACTGTTTTCTACATGAGAAGTAACTGAAAAACATTCACCCTTGTGACACAACAGATTTTCTAAGCTCTTTTCTTTCCAAGCTACCTGAGCAGCCGTGTCATCTCTGCAGAAATGCCCGGGTGTGGGTTGCTGTTTAAGAGCATATTGTACTTATCAATAAAATGCGAAATGGCTTAAAAAACAATTTGAGCTATGAATTGCCATCTGCTCTTTTGGGGGGGGAAGGGAGTGGGGGGTGTGAAACAGAAAGTAACTGCATTTATTTTCTCACTTTCTTTCTGTCTCTTTTTTTTTTTTTTTTTAATAGTAACATAAACAATACTGCAGAATGCTGTAAAGCTCTGGCTGTATGAAAGGCATCGGCACAGCTCATCATACCTTAGGTCAGGACTTTGCCCACGTTGTTAATCACCACTTCTTTTATCTATCTGCAGAAGTGCCCACAGTACTTTTTTCCCCATTAAGCAGGGTGTACTTTCTAATTTCAGACATTAAAAGCCTGGTCCATCTTCCCACGTGACACAGAAACGTCCCAGTGGACAGCAAAGCGGCCTGCAGACCCTCTTCTGTTCTACATGGGAGAGTGGGACCACTTGAGGCTTTGCCAGCACCACAGCCTCAGTGCTGGCGATGCAGTGCTCCTGAGCGAGCTGTGTGCATCACTGTGAGGCCAGCTCCAGGTGCTGGGAGGCCTCTGCCCAGCCCAGGGGAAGGCATGGCAGCCCTGCCTGGCTCCTGCCTCTCAGCAGCCCTTCCTGCCCACACCACTACTCCCTGTGGCAGGGCTCACTGCAACAACATCGAGAGAACAAAATAACAGCTTGCTTCTGCCTACTTAGCTGGAGTTATTTCTTTGTTGTCATTCAGCTGGGAGCCCTGACTTTTGTAACCTGTTTATTCCGGTTCTTGCTCAGCTAACCAACCCAGACACTGCTCCTACCTGCTATGGGGAGGGGAGGGGAGGGGAGGGGAGGGGAGG